GGTAGTAGGTAGTAGGTAGTAGGTAGTAGGTAGTAGGTAGTAGTGGTAGTAGTGGTAGTAGTGGTAGTAGTGGTAGTAGTGGTAGTAGTGGTAGTAGTGGTAGTAGTGGTAGTAGTAGTAGTAGTAGTAGCAGCCGTTGTTGTTGTTGTTGTTGCTGTAGTTGAGCAGAGGCAGTGGCAGTCGTGGTGGTTCTCGTGGTCGTGTTAGCCTCAGGAGCATGGCTCAGTATGATGTGTGTCCAATTGTGCTCATGCGCAGGAAACTGCAACCTTCAGTTTTTCGCCAAGCAGGCGCAGTCGACCTGTGTCACAGTTCCTGCTAGACTGCTGTACACTGTACACAGCAGGCAAGTGTCTGGTATACTGCTTCCTGAAGCCCCTAACACCCGTAATGCAGCGTCCTGAAAAATTAGATTAGATGTAGCAGCTCATATTCCACATGTATGGTAGCCTCGTATAAGAGTATGTGTTACAGGGCTAAATTTTGGCGTTGGCAAGTGGCAGCTTTTTTCTTGCCAGTTTCGGGGCGGCTGTTCCTGCTTCAGCCACCTGGATCATGGTCTCCACCATATCAGCCTGGGCTCAGCTGTTTAGGGTTTTAGGGTTTACGGTTTGCCGAGTTTAAAGTGGCGGTAAAGGGAAGTTTGTTTTCAAAATGAAATGGTTTCCTTATTATGGTAACTGAAACTGAGTTCCTTAACAGGAACCAGCAGCAATCCGAGCATCCAGCATACCAAGATCCTGGAGATCTCGTACTTTGAGGCTTTTGAGCTGCTCTGCGTGCCTCTTGCTGACACCCCCGCCTTCAGCCGAGTTCTTCCACTTCCGAATAGAGGCTTGGCCGAAGTTGCCCCTGCGGAACACGAGCACAAACCCTTCGTTTTCTCCAGCTGCAAGACTTTTCGCCATGCTCGCGACGAGATTGGCATGGGTTGATTGCTGCGCATCATCTGTGACATCACAGCCTGCTTTGGTCAGCAGCTGCCGCAGGGCAGGACAAAGAAATAGTCGCACTTTCTGGCCCTCCGCCGCGATGCTGTGTGCGAAGCCGTGCTTGTCGAGTTTCTTAGACCAAGCCATGATGTCTCCGCCATCCTGCGCCTGGGGAAGCTTCACCACTGCTCCGAAACAGATCCACTTCTCAGCAAGCCCACGTGCAAGGTAATCGTAGTATCCAGGATTGCACATAAGTTCTCCCCAAACACAGACAGATCCTGGGGTGAGTTCTGCATCGAAGACTCGAGAAAGCTCTGCACGGACAAGCTCGATGTTACACTCTTTGCAGGCGGCGGTGCTGGTTTGGAGGTAGCTCTCGCAAGCTTTACCTACCTGGTGGCGGCGCCCAGAGAGATTGCCGTTGTCCAGCTTTCCGAAACACGTACCATCATACTTGACAGTTGCGGAGAAAAGAGGCTTCTCGAGGAGAGTTCTTTCGAGCTCCCTCCTCATCATCTCCTGCTGCCCCTTTTCTGCCGAAAGGTAGTTTTCGATTTGATCTACGACCCAGACGGGGTAATGGTCGATGCTGGCCCACTCCAGACCCGACTCTTTACCCCTCCCCTCTTCCCGGGCTACCTTGACACCGCTGGGATCTGCTCCCTTCTTCCAAAGACCGTAGCCTAGGTTGCCCAGTGGCCCCTTAATCAAGATACCTTTGTTCCTATAATGTGGGTTTCAAGAAGGGGGGGGAACCCAAGAAGAAAAAGGGCAAACCGGTGCTACTGGGAGACCTAGTAGCTCTTGCCGACCATCTGCATGACGAATTTCCGGAGCTGCTCCTCTTGCGAAGGCATCATGCGACCGGAGAAGGGGAAATCACGGTCTTCACCTTACTGGCACTTGAGGATAGTGGAGGAAGGAACATAAGGATTTCTATGAGGGATTCTGTGGGGACTTCTAGAGGGATCATCTGCTCTCCAACCACTCCTTAAGCACCAGCAAGTCACGTATCTCTCGCAGGAGCATCTTAGCCACTGAGTCCACCGTCATGCCGTCCCCGAAGTAGGTGCTTAGACTGTCGAACTTCGTCAGTGCACTCCTGGGCTGTGTTAAAGTCAGTTACCAGAAAACTGGATCTACAGTGTCCTACAGCCAAGGGTATGGTTGCCGTTTCTTCAGCATTTTAAAAGCTCTATTTGTGTGCCTGACTGCAGAACCCGATTATGCTTGGGTTTTCGTATTCTGAAACCTCAAAGAGACGTCTGCACAAGAACCGCGGAACCATACCATAGTATTAAGTCTAGAGTCTAGATCCCTTTCATGATAGCTTAAGAAGATTTCCTTAACAAGAGCCCAGACTCGAAAGTGCATGGTTCAGGCTGCTGTGGAAGTCACGAGGATCGCCGACCTCCTTCTCACCGTCACGTCGCCGCTTGCAGAAGCTGTTTCCCATGGCTTGGGCTTGGGGTTTTGGGCCTAGGGCTTAGGGCCTAGGGCAAAGGGTTGGGCCGTGATGTGAACAGCACGGCTTTTTCAGCGTCCAAGCCAATTCACCAAACAGCCCTACACCCAAATTACCCTAAACCCTAAACCCTAAACAAGAGTCTTAGAGCAAGATGTCTGCCTTCAGCAAGCGGTGTGGGACTCTTCTGGCCCCAAGCAGCACCAATGCACGGTTTAGGGTTTAGGGGTTTAGGGTTTAGGGTTTACACGGACATGTTTGGACTGTCAAAGCCGCAGCAGCCCGCCTTGTGCAGACGCAAGGAAAGGCACCCCACGCCCACTTGCTTATGTACCTCAGGCCGGACAGCAAACGTAAGCCTCGCCCCTGTACCATCGACTGCAGTGTAAACTGGAACTAGGTTGCCCAGTGGCCCCGTGACGGTAAAGGTACTCCTTTTTCCTGCTATTCGCTTCTCATACGGGAACCCCCAAAAAAGAAAAGAAAAAGGGCCAAAGGGCACTACTGGGAGACCTTGGGAAAGAAAACGAAGCTGCTGCCACATTGCAAACGAGCTCAGGATTCTTCGCGGCTGGCCGCCACGAGGGCATCAGAAATCCAGCCTTGGACGGAAGCGAAAATTCCGTTGGCAGAATCTTCAAAGGCTCTATAGGGGTTTAGGGTTTAGGGTTTAGGGTTTGGAATTACTATACAGGTTCTATCAGGGCTCTCTTTGAAAGCTCTATAAGGGGGCCGCTATTCATACAAGGTTTCCTCGCCCCTGCCGCCTCCTCCAAGACCGACATCACCGCTCGGCTGCAAAAGATCCTCGGTGGCGTCGAGAGCCTTGGATGATCCAAGCCGGTCCAAGCCGGAACGGAGGGGCCTGCACGATTTTGGGCTCCTTTATAGCATAATCATAATAAGGAACCCAAGGAATAATATTGGTAATTATTCTGGCTGCTCTAGTACCTAAGCAACCCCAAAAGCAACACTTATGGCAATAAACCCTTTCAGCCACCCATGTAACTTCTGCTGACCCAGCAGTTATAGCAACCCCTGTGGGAAAACCCTCAGCCCTAAACCCTAGAAGAAGCCTGATGATAACCCTTCACTTCAAAAACCCTAAACCCCTAAACCCTAAACCCCGAAACCCCTAACCCTAAACACCTAAACCCCTAACCCCTAAACCCCTAAAAACCCTAAAAACCTAAAAAGCCCTAAAAGCCCCCAACAAAAACCCGGAAAAACCCCTAAACCCTAACCTTACGACAACCCTTCAGCAGAAGCCTCGTAGGATCCCGGCTTCCTTGGAAGCTCGCGGCTCTGAAACCTCCTCTTCATACTTCCCAAGGGCTTAGGGGTTTAGGGGTTTAGGGTTTAGGGTTTAGAGGTTTTAGGGCTTTAGCATGTAGGGTTCGGACAACCCCTGAACCCAAATCCTAAACACTGAACCCTAAACTTACTTCCCAAATGAGCCAGGGAAATAAAAGGGTTAAACTTTCAGGTTACTACTAAATTATAAGAACCCCAAAAAGTTTATAAAGGTTGGGTATTGGGGGACTAGGTCTTCGAGTGGGAAGCTTCGAAGTTAAAGGGCTTAGGGTTTTAGGGGTCTTGGGGTTTAGGGGTTGAGGGGCTTAGGGTTTCGGGGTTTAGGGGTTTAGGGGCTTAGGGTTTCGGGGGGTTTGGGGTGTTGTTTTTCGGTGAGTTATTGGGCCCTGAAGTTTTTAGGGCCTACCTGGACCCTTTCAGAACTTCTCTTGTTAGGGTTCCTTACTATTTACTATGGTTTCCTTATAATTACATAGGTCCTCCTATACTATTTACTATGGTTTCCTTATGATCATATAGGTCCTCCTTACGCTTTACTATGGCTTCCTAACAAAATCTAGATAGGTCCTCCTTACTATTTGCTATGGCTTCCTTATAATTATATAGGTCCTGAAAAAGGTAGGTTCTTTGGGCCTTTGGGGTCTAGGTAGTGTTTAGGTGTAGGGTCTTAGGGTGAATTCTTCGGGGCCTTTTTTTGTTGGGATGTAGGATGTAGGGGTTTAGTTTTTTTTTTTTT